AGTCATTTAAAGATGAAAAACTAAATTCTGATAAAACATTACATGTGGCACTGAGTTCTCAAAAAGTGCTGGAGAAAGAACTTCAGGATGCCCAGACAGACAGAGCTCAAGTTGAGGAAAAGCTTCTAACTGAACGTAAAAATGCAAAAATAGAAAGTGGAGTTTTGAAAACTACTTTATCCAATACTGAAAGAGAATGTGACCGCCTAAGAATCATGATAACTACCATTACAGAAGACAACAAACTTCTCAAGAAGCAGCTGAATGAATTTAAAGAGGAAACCTATGAATGTAAGCATAAAATAAGACAACTGAGTGAAACGCTCTTACTAAAAGAAAATGTTACACGTTCTATAGAGAATGAAAGAGATGCACTGAGGTTTGAAGCGCAGCGTCTTCAAAAGAACAATGCTAATCTCAAAGAGCAAGTTACTACTTTGGCTAATGAACAGTATAAGCAAGAATGCAAGTCTAGAAGCCAAAAGAAAAATGATTTCTCTCTAGATTCTACTCAAATTTGTGAAGAAATATCTAGGTATCAACGTATTTCTTTAATGCGCGATCTACCAGGTAAGTTTTGCTATCTGATATATATTTTAAGAGCCCTCATAACACAGTGGTTAAAGTGCAGTATTTCAGGCAAACTCTGCCCACAGCTCTGCCCTGACAGAGCTCAAGGTTGAATCAGCCTTCCATTCTTCAGAGGTCTGGAAAATGAGGACCCAGATTCTTGGAGGCAATATGCTGACATTGCAAATCGCCCAGAGATTGCTGTAAAGCACTATGGGCTGATATATAAGCTTAAGTGCTATTGCTAAAAATCTATTTTAAGTTAAATTCTTAGTTAAATTAAGTTGAATAATTAATTAGTTTGATTTACTAATTAAATGATTAATTTAATAATACTTAATTTAATAAACAAGTAAATTGTTCTGTGAAAAATACAATACTTAAACAATAATTGTGAAGAAACCAGTGCCAATATTAATACATCAAGCTGAAGGGGCTCAGCATCATATTCAGCAGAGCCTTTTCCATTCATATGCATACAAATGCTTATCCCTTTTCTGTTCTGATGTACACACGCAAATCAAGGTGAATTGGCCATGACCTTTAGTGGGAGATTTAGCCAGATACTACTCCCTTTTAGCCAGGCAGAAAGATGAGTTGGAAGGCTTTATGGACTTTCTATCTGCAAACTCTCAAACTTATTTTTTGTGTATGTCCAATATTGAGAATTGAGTACATTCATATTGACCTTTTTTTCCCTAATTTAAAATGAGGCATTTTAAATTAGGGAAGTGAAGTTTTCACAAAGTAATCAATATTTTGTAAGAGATTTCTAAAGCTCTAGTTCTACTTAATTTTACAGTCTGACAAAGAAAGAGTTTTAGATGACCTACTGAAGTAAATGTGGAATAGGCCATGTATTTTAATTATTAGAAAGCATATGTTTGGAAATGAACAAGCATTCAGACAACATTTTAGCACTTTTAATGTATAGATTTGTTGCTATCACTAATTGCCTCCTTTGATTTTGTTTGTAAAGAAAACTGTCTTTTTTTCTAGGCAGCTCCAGGCAAACTCCATCAATCAATTCTTCAAAGACACTATAATAAAACATCTTTGAAACTTGTTTAAAACTCTTATCTAATTACTACCACTTTTTAAGCTTTATAGTAACTTTTAAAATAATATTCCAGAGGTAATCAGTGTCTCTGTGTGAGTGTGTGTGTGTGTGTATACATTATATATATATGTATGTATGTATGTATGTATGTAGGTCTAGGTGTGTTCGGGTCTTTTCCCATGTAAGATTAAGAGTATCTTGGCAACGTTTCTGTGAGGTCCCACTCGCCATCCTCAGGTTGGTGCTTTTGGCTTCATGCCAGTGCAAGCAGCGTGTGATCAGAGCTGCCGTCTCTCTATAAATACTGGTGGTGGGCGGGGGGCTGGTGTGCTGGGCTTGTTGGCTGAGCTGCTGCCTCTTGATCAGTTGATGGAGTTGGTGTTGGTATAATGAGCTGTGTGATGGCCTTGTGAGTTTTGTTGTGGAGATATCCTGGATCTTGTGCTGTAATCTCCTGGGTCGTTTGTTTTGTAATGATCTTTTTTCCATTTGCCTTCCGTGTTTTAATTGCTTGGGTTGTGTGATGGTCAAATTAATATCCAACACTGAAAACTCCAGCAAGAGAATAATCAGGGAAGCCATCGAAATAGAGAAACACCCCCATAATATGAATAAACTGGACGATATCTCCCGTTTGGTCTGTCCAATGTATAGAAGAATAAGTACCCGCCTTCAATAATCTTTGCCTTCAATCAAACATCAGTCTCAAGAATCAAGGCTCAATATCATGGATACTTATTCTGTTTTTGTGTAGAAAATTTCTCGTTATAGCTATCTATATCAATGTACATACAGAAGGACTTCCATTCCAGAAGCTAAGTCTGCTCCATAAATATGTTACTAACAAAAAATGCAGTTCCTAAATTAGCATACATGACTCATAGCATGTATTAGGATAACAGTATTGTGAAGTAATTTTAACTTACAAAAATATAACCATAAAGGTAATCTGATAAGTATCAGGATTCAGACAATTTTATATACAGACATATAATTTTGTTGAAGGGAACAATTATTTTCAATGTATTTGTAGATCTTAAATGAAAAACATATATAGTGTGTATGTATATTATATATTGTTTGAAAAATAACTAAACTGATGCCATGAGGATTTTGAAATACATCTAAAAACAAATAGATACTTCCTCCTCTCAAATCTTCCTTTCTCCCCCAATTACATTCCTTGCTCTTTTTCTGCTCTATATGTGCTGGATTGAGTACAACCTTCATAAATATACTGTGAGAGTATAGAAGGCCTTACATCTGTGAGCTTTACAGTAACTGAGTACAGTCTATCTAATTTCTCTTGTCCAGTACAGTGTACTCATTCGTTCCGTGCCTTTTTCTTATGACTTGAAAGTGAGAGGTGAGGTTTTCTCTGTCTCCACTCTCTTGTATAATTGTCTTTTGGGTTTCAGAGATATAGAGGGAAGTTTCCATATCTCACAATGTAGTATGTGAAAGCAGAACTAAACACCTCTGTTCCAGAATTTAAGGATATTTTTCTGTAGATGTGAAGGGCATATTACAATTAAAGCAAACTAATTTATACTCATATCTTCAAGAAAAAAATAAATTCATGTTCAAATCTGAAGGACTGAAAATTTGAAAATGTTCAAATCAGGACCATTCCACATTTAAATAGGAAACTAGTTCAGCTTGCAATGCTACATGTTCTTAAGAATAAATACGTTGCTTTCTAGGTTTTAAGTTAAAATACATGCAAAGAACTATCTGGAAAGAATATTGGACAAAAATATAGATATGAAAGGATTAATTTTTAGTAGGAAGTTGATATCAAAAGACTATGCTCTACTTTTAATTTTGATTTTCTAAATAATGGAAAAGAGATTTTGCATCATTGTATTAATTTTCATATATATTAGTTTCAAATTTTGAATGGTCTTGTAGAGATTGGAACATTGCCATCAGCAACTACCACTTTTTATCACCAATGTATTCTTACACAAGTATATTTTCTGAAGATTGTTTATTTCTATCTTTCAAGGGTAACCTCTGGTCATTAATGTCTTCTATAAACTAAGAAGTAAGAGCACGCAATTACCCTTAATTTACATTATATTATACTTTCTGCGTACTACATGAAAGCTACTTAGGAATACATTCTCAAGGTATCTTTGTGCTATCCTTTACCTAGGGAAAGTTTATACTATATTCTAAGGTCTATAGAAATCACATCTAGATAGCAATTTCCTCAGAACTTAATTTGTTTTAACTACTTTCCCAACATTTCCAATTTGCTAGAGTATGAAAAGATTGCTGAAATCCAAACGACGCTGGAAGAAGAACTCAGTATAGAGACAAGTCACGGCAAAGTCAAGAATCACTATAGTACTTTTACAATCAGCTGTTCCAACGCCACTACTGGTGACTTGGACTTTCCTGTTATTGTGTGGAAGAAATGCAGTATTTTTTGCTCTGTTCCTTGATGCTTTGAAATTCTGAACAAAGACCTTAAAAAAGAAATACATTTCTGATTGTTCAACTTAAAAACTCAACTCAGGAATAACTACTGGCTTGATTTAGGAATAACTATTGGATTAACTATCATAAATTAAACAATCACAGAAGCAGACAATCTGTGGTTTTAGATGGGTAAGAGAACCTCATTCATGTATGTATATATAGCTAATTACAAACTAGAAGCAATAGCATTTCTTATAAAATTGAAATTCAAGTAATGTATTAAAATTTAAACCAACCTTCATTTAAACCTCTTTAAATAAAGAATGATTTCTCCTTAATGCTGTTATATGTTATTATTTTAATAGTGCAAAATAAAAAAGACAAATGTAATAACTAGGTTTCTTACTCAAACATCTTAATTATATGAGTTTTAATCAATGAAAACTACTATGTATTAATTGCAAAAAGACAGGTATATTTTAGATCATTATTTCAGAAGAGATTTTTTTCCCCACAGGGAGAATGTTATATTTATGCTAATGGATACCAGCTAAATTCTTGTATCAATACAGTATATAAACCACTAGCAGTATTTCAGTCAAAAATATTTAAAATAATTATAAGCACTTCATCAATAATTCTGTACAATGCTTAAGAGAATCCTACTAAAGTCCAGCTGAAGCTCAAATTTCATTGCACTCTTCAAAGCTTGTATATCTTGTCCCTGGATTGGAATAAGAATGTGACAGTCATAATCATTCAACACATGTGTATATATGTCTATTTAGAAAGAACCTACAGTGATTTTAATGGGTTTACTTCCACATGAGCACAGGCTTTAGCTTTAACATAGAAAAACTTCTGTTGGATCAGAAACACTTCAGCAATCTAGCATCCTATTTCTTATAGCAAACACTTCAGCAATCTAGCATCCTATTTCTTGTAGCAAACAACCAGTAGTCAGCAAAATGCTCATTAGTATGAAAGAAAGGGAGCATTCTCTCCTTTATGCTTCCCAGGACTGGTATTTGCAGACAGATAACTCTTATTTGTTATCTAGAGATAAAATACATACATGACTAAAATTGATTTTTTAGTTTTTTCATTTCCATCACAAACTAGGATTCAATAACTCACTGGATGACTTTTACTGCACACTATTGGGAGACAGCAAAAAGAAAACTTGGGACTTTTCACCCACTGTAAGGCTTTAAAAACTCTAAATTGGAAAAGGAGGCTAGCATGTCTCATTCCAGACAGTGATACTAAGAAATAAAATTCTCAGCTTTCATTTTAAATGACTGAAAAATATTTATTTCAATGTAGAGTTGCCCAGGTTATTAGTCATTTTCATTTGAGAGCAATTACAATTCAGAGAAGTTTGTTTTAATAGAGCAATTATTTAATGACTATGTTCAGATAAAAAAAGACACAGGACAATTATAAATAATAGTATTAGTTCTTTTCATGGCTAAAAAAACCCTCACCAGAAAAAATACTATCCGATAGCATAACATATCAAAATTTAAATTTCATTTTATATATACATCAATAACTATACTATCAATTAGTTCTTATAAAACGAAGGCAGATAGCTATATCTGACACATTTCCCTCAGCCACAAAACTTTTATTTACTTGAGCTGTTACTGTTTGCAGTCCAGAAAGTTCATTCCTTCACTTTGCTTTTGTGCAGCTAATATGATATCACACGGGGATTTGTGTAATTAGTTACATTTAATGATCTGAAATGTAAATACAACAAAGTATCACAAGACTTAGTTGATACACACATTTTGTCTGTTTTTCAGTCAGTTGCCCAATATAGCACTATTTTATGAAGTAGGTTTATGTTTATTTTTTTCCAGAACATAAATTTCCTCTTCCCCACTCTACCTCTCAAAACTCATATATTGGATTATATTGGATTACCATCACACTTCTTTGGTATCTAACAAAAAGGTACAAAGAAAGAAAGAAGATAGGCATGTACGTGTATTTCTGTGTGCTTGTGTTTTATAAAACAACTAATAAATTAATTGACAGGACTGAATATTCATTCATTTGCCTGAATAAAAATAAGTTAGGCGCTCTTCATGTTATGTCCACTTCATTAAAGTTTCCATTGGCTTATCAGGTTCTATGATAAGCTATTTTTTAAGTGGGGTGTGTTCAGGTCCTGTTCTCCCAGGTTTTGCATAGAGAAACCACAAACAAGCACATTTCTTGAACTTCAAGCCTTGGAGAGATTTAAATCAGCTTTAAAAAGTGCAAATCTGGTCTGTAACACAGATAACACATAGAATGAACCTAATGTTATGGCTTCCTATATGCCTTTAGAGGCACACATTTTTAATTTGAAAAAAGTAAGGATAAAGGCAGTGGATGAAATAGTAAATAGATTTGGTTAAACAAGGATTGGTTGTAAGGACAGAAAACCGAACAGAATAGTGAGTGTATTAGTGTAATTAGATTTATCTCTTTCTTCTCTTTTTTTAAATCATACTTTTACTTGGCTTACTATTTCTTATCTCTTTTCCAGCTGCACAACCCAAAAATTGGTGGGTACATATGTAAATAAGTGAGGAGGGCTTTTTATATGATGTTGAGTTACAATGCATTTGGTCTAATAGATCAGGCATGGTATAGATTCTTAATGATTTTATTAGAGTTAGCTAAATCAGGACCCATATTTAAATAAACAGCCTTAATTATTCAATTATTATCAATATCAGGATTCAAGCTTCAACTATATAAAATAGAACCAGAACTCTCCAAAACATCTGGAGAAGTTCAACAGATTTCTCTTCCCACTGAATAAATAGCAAGAGAATCTTCACAGAGCATTATATATAAATTAAGGAAATAGCTATCAGGTTGGAGAATATTTACTGCACAAGTTTTCCTAGAAATTAAATACTGCAATTTGGCAATACTTACTTTTCAATGTTTAAGGCCATAATACTTCTTACTGGTCTGCTCTTAGAACCAGGACTGGGGTGAAATACTTGTCCTTGTTTATTAGTTGTGGAAGCCCTAGGCATTCTAACACCATATGGATCTGTAGAATGAGTTGGAAATGGATCAAATGTGCCTGCTTTCATGCCTCCTGGCTAAAAAGAAAAATAAATGTTATACCGCAGACTTAAAAAAAAGAATATTTCATACATACAAAACACAAATATGAATTTAGCAGCACTATGAGCTGGATACAAAGTAATATGAAAGCCTACTTCAGGTATAGCACCTAATTTCTTTTCACAGAGAATCACAAGACCATAGACTTACAAGAGTTAGTCTCAAGAATATAAACAGGTCTGTCCTGAATAATATTTGGTTGTGACACCACTATAAAAATGAGGACTATAGATCAGGATAGGAAAAAAAATCCTGAAAGTGTTGACTGTAAACCACTGCTGTATTGTTGGCAAGATAACAGTGTGAACACACATAGTAAAAAAAAAATCAAGTCTAACTTAAAGGAATCGTTATCATTTTAATGTAACATTTGAATTACAATATTAACTAAATGCTAGATGAACTTAATTAACACAGTAATATCTTACTTTTCCACCAAGATATATTTATGCAATTTTCACAATGCTGTGAGGGAAGTCTACAGTACTGCTGAACAGGACTTCAGCCTTTGTACATATGATGGCCAAACCAAGTTGAAGTTTGGTCTACCTGATCTAAATTCATGATTACATACTTTGCTTTAGACACACTCAGATGTAAAATTAAGAAAGGAATCCAGATTTAATACACAATTATAGCAATAAATAGATTGCAGATACGTTGCAGTATAGTACATACAGTATATTTCAGAAAAACGTTAATTACAACCATAATGTTTGATTCATACAACACATTAGGCATTATTTGATTTTGGTTTACCACAGATGGACATCTATAGAAATTCTTTCTCTTTTTTTCTGATTTTGTTTCTAACTATGTTTTTCTAGATCTGCACCTTGTCAAGGAAGGGGTCCATGATGGGTCACTTCTTAGATCACTATTTGGATTAAATCTGAAAAAGCTATAATGATTCCATAACTATAATGAGGACATAGATGTACTGTTTTCTAAAATTAATTGGGTTTTATTTTTTCCCAATAAATATAGCCCTTTACAATGCGGTAAATATCACACATAACCTCTTTTTTTTGATAAACAAAAATATCTGCAGTAAAAATTTCTTGAGAAGTTTGACTATTTAGAAACACACCTTTTTTGCTGGAGAACTTGGCTTGAAAGGGTGTGGAATGGGTACTTTTGCAGGTTGCCTTTTTGGTGGAGGAACCGGCCCTTCATCATGGTAAGGATTTGTATCGAAATATTCTCGGGGATAAAGATTTAGCTTGAATGGTCCACCTTTCATCAGATTGCGATGTTCTTCAGATAGTTTCTGGGCAAATTAGAAATGGAAAATGTCACATTGGGCTCTTCAACTCCTTAACCAAAGCTGGGGGCCAGATTAAGGCTGCAATTCTATGTTCACATATTTTTGGTTAAGCTCTACATAGCTGTAATTATTCCTTAGCAAACTTACATGGGATTGCATTTCTGAAGTTATAAACGCAACAAGTGATAGGAAATTAGTATTAATGAGCATTAGAAATATCAAGATAAATATATAGAAAGCAGGACCTCGGACATCATAACATTAAAGTAAACATATACAAGAAGGAAATTCACCAAAGTAATAAAAAAGCAGTATGGCTTTCCCTTCGTTCACCACTTAAAAGGGCTTTTTAAAACAGGTTTCACATTAAGGATAAATCCATATATGGCTCTAATACAGTCCATACCACTTCTGGGACAATCACTATAATTTTTTAACTGATGAAATTAATCTTAACAGGGAAATTTGCAAAAGCCATTTAATGTATTACTGTATTGATGGCATGAGAAAATAATAAATCAATGGAACATATATTGAAATAATATACAAAATATATTCTTATTTCTTTATCAAAGGTTAATGATGTATAATTTTATAGCATGGTACCATATAAAATCCAATTAGAAGGAATAAGATATATTACAACCTAGATAAAATAAAACAGAAATCCAATTGAATTTTACCTTAAAATTTATTCTTCCTATGTCATACAATTCAACTGAATGTGTGTATGGTTTACCTATGGTGAGATTTGGATACCTAGATACAGAAATAAAACAGTGATAGCAGCAACATTCAACTATCTCTTCCCTTAAAAAAAAGATATATTTGATATTATAATTCTAGAATGTTTTACCCATAGCCAGTTCCTTTCTTCCCTGGACTGGTATAGAGATTTTTCCCTGGTTGTACATATGCAATCTTATCTTTCAATTGTGCACTGAAGAAGGGACATGGGCCACCAATTGTTCCGTAGTAGGTTCCTATGCCACACCTGAGACGCAAAAAGAATGTAGAGGTTAGCGTTCTCTATGCTTTATTAAATATTAAATATACAAATAACATAACATAATAAATATATTTATATCACACTTTATGTCATATTTGATTCAGAGGTGGTATTCAGCAGGTTCTGACCAATTCTGGAGAACCGGTAGCAGAAATTTTGAGTAGTTTGGAGAATCGGCAAATACCACCTCTGACTGGCCCCACCCCCATCTATTCTCTGCCTCCCGAGTCCCAGCTGATTGGCTGGGTCTTCTTTTGTTGCCCTGTATAGGAGAACGGAGCTGGAATGCAGGCTAGTGGGGGTGGGAAGGGAATGGGGATTTTGCAGCATCCTTACCCTGGAGTGGGTGGGAATGGAGATTTTACAGTATCCTTCCCCTGCCACTCCCACCAAGCCACACCACGTCCACCAAGCCATACCCACAGAACCGGTAGTAAAAAAAATTTGAATCCACCATTATCTGATTATCTTTATTTTAAAAAAACAACAGATGATTCCCTAATCAGAGAAAAATTGCCTATCTCTGCTTATTACATTCAAATGTATGTCTGCATTTCTGTACTTGAATTCATTCAGAATGCTAAGTCAGAGGCAAGCAAGTTACATCTAGTTCTCTCTGATCCTTTTCTGAGGCCTTTCAGGCCCTCTCAGATTGCACAGCCAAAATATGGTAGACACATCATAATCACTTTATTTGCAAACAAATATACAAACTATTTGCAGAAATAAGCTATCAATTATTCTATAGTTTAACAATACACATCCCTGCAATCCTTGGGAACCATTATTTAAAAAGCATGCCCATCATGTGCAAACCACAGTGAGTAGGTTCATATACCACACTAAAGGAAAATGAAATCCTATAAGACATAAAGTGTATGAATCCAACTTATTGTTGGCTGTTGTGCTTTCTAGCTTGATTTTCTTTTCTTGCCCATATTATTTCAGATCAAGTACTTTGTCTAATATATTGTAGGTAATCCTTTGTCTCCTGATGATGCTTTGTTATGCCAAAATAGATAGTCTTTCCCAATCTGGTATACTTTCATAGGCCATCATTCCCATCACTGTGGCCATTGTGAAATATGGGAGCTTAACCAAGTTTAGCACAGAGTTAGGAAAAAAACATATCCAAAAGTTTTCTTTCAATGTGTGCTCACCACTTCTACCATTCATATTCAGAATGTTTTCTAGAAATGATTTCTGGGGTGTTTATGAAAACTGGTAGAAATTAAAATAAACCATCTCAGAGGAAGAAAGTATTTGTGGCACTAGAGGGAATCTAGGGGAAAAGAAGGTTAGTATAATTAGAATCATGGAAGCAAAAACTTTATGGAAAATCCAGTGATATAGTAAATATGTGTTTATCAGGAAATGAAATCTCCTGTCAGCTTTTGTGGCAACTTAGATATCAAAGGAATCCTTAAAATACATTCTAACTGTAAATGTACTGTAAGTAGATAAATGCCATGTAACTTTTCCATTGTAGTGGTTTTTTTAGAACTTACGGAAATTTATCTCCATTACTGGGAAGAAAGGGTCTGGCTCCTAGATTTTTTTTTGCCTCAGCCAATCGGTATCTTCTCCTTAACTGAACAGGATTTGAATAACTTTCCCCTTCAAAAACTCTTGAAAACTGAGGATCAAAATATCCTGCTTGGGTGGCTCCTTTCTCTTTAATGCCTCCTGGTAGCATTTGTTTATTCTTGCTTGCAGCTTCATTAAAAGGGCCTTTAAATAAGGGAACAATTTCAGCATCAATTCAGTCATTTGTTTTAATTCTGCCATGGGGAAAATAGCTTAGGAATTACATGGAAATGTCAATAATGTCATCAGAAATTGAGATAGGTTGAATTTTGCTTTACATTTTGCACATAAGCTGTCTTGAATCTGAATTTGAAAACATGAATTGTTTTCAATACTTGTTCTAAGAAGCAGTTTTCAATTCAAATCATCATATGACCATTAAAAAGATTACAGCATGCTCAAGTTTGAACAAAAAGGTGCTTGTTCAAACCCGGCCTTTTTTTCTAAAGATTTAATCCCATCCACCCCAAAAAGATGTTACAGATTGGAAAATCTACTGCTATCATAGAAGGAAGGAGAGAGTCGCACTGTCTAAAGTATGGCTTATCAACTTATAAAGAACATTCAAAAGAAATAACCAAGCAAAAACAAAACATCGTTTGTCCCCTTAGGACACATAAGGCATATCAGGGAATTGTTATTCTATCTAAAACTCTCAATCCCCCTTAACATGTATTCCTATAGAAATTATGCAAAAAAGGCAAGAAAAAAAACCCCATCCCTATAATGTACTTACGGTTAAATGGCGAGACGTATTTATCTCCAATACTAATATATTCCATTTCGCTAAAGAGGCCAATCCTCTCCATGTCTGTTTTTCCCATTTCAGAAGGCATGTTTACTTCTGTATGATAACTTTTACTCTAGAAAATTTTTAAAGTCTGATGTGCCCTAGAAGGAATACACACATTAAAATGCTTCAGTCTTTGACAACTCATCATATGCTTCTCTGAAAAAGTGCTTTTCCAAACAACTTCAGAGCACAATGCGAAATTCTGGATACATTTTTTTACAATCACACTATAATAGAGCTTTCTGATGTTAAATTCATTGGAATATATTTATATAACATTCTCATCAAAATGATGTCTGTAATCTCAGAAGAATTTTTAAAATTTGGAATTTTAAATCTAACCTAACCAAACAGACTGGAGAACTTTTATTGAATCCTTGTTGTTAGTTGAGAAGTTGTGTCCAACCCATCGCAACCCCATGGACAGCATTCCTCCAGGCCTTCCTGTCCTTTACCGTTTTCTGGAGTCCATTTAAACTCACGCCGACTGCTTCAGTGACTCCATCCAGCCACCTCATTCTCTGTCATCCCGTTCTTCTTTTGCCCTCAATCATTCCCAGCATTAGGCTCTTCTCCAGTGAGTCCTTCCTTCTCATTAGGTGGCCAAAGTATTTGAGTTTCATCTTCTAAAGAGCCTTCTCAAGAGCAGCCAGGGTTGATCTCCTCTAGGACTGATTTCCTCTAGCACTAGTTCAAAGGCCTCAGTTCTTTGGTGCTCAGCCTTTCTTATGGTCCAACTTTCACAGCTATACATTGCAACTGGGAAAACCATAGCCTTGACTATACACACTTTTGTTGGCAGGGTGATCGAATCCTACCCATTACCATAATCTATAGCTGTGACTGGTCTTGAAAACCTAAGTATTTCCTATGGCCCAAATCGAATCCCTTTCACCAGTCTGAATTAAGACCAAACCCACACCTTCCAGTCATATCAAGCAAACCTCAAAACAACAACAAAAAATTTCCATGTGCTAAATTATTAGTTGCTTGCAACTAGCAAGACTGCCTGGAATCCACTTGGATTCCACACCTTTCAAATTGTACCGGGCTGTGCCTCACCTTTTCTTTTTGCAAACCAGCCTGCCGTACCTTCCTCCCAAACCCTTGCAATTTTATGAAATGAATACACGAACCCAACGTTGGAATCCCTCCGTCAGTCGTATCAGATGTACACGCTGAACACGGAGATGACGCCTGGAAGCAAGGGCTTGCACGGGATATATAGGGAGTCAATTGGACATTTCGGACTGCCCGCTCTTTGCTTTAACCTTTTGGCTGCCAGTCCCCCATGGATCGACTCAGACTGGCTTAAGATGGGGAAGTCTGCAGCCAGAACTTGAGGGCGCCACCTTGCAAAAGCCTCCTCGATCGCTCCCCTCCGAGTCTCAGATAGATAACACACCCGCTCACTTTGCCCCCCCTCCTCTCTCTCTCTCTCTCCCACAGGCAAGACAGGCTAGGTTGGCTCAACAGGAAAGACCACTTCTTTCGCCTCTCTCCCCCCAGCACTCCATGATTATTGCAGCGCTTAGTTTCTCCCGCCCTTGAAAGCTCTTTGTTGATAACACAGTTGCCATGGTTTCCAGGGGCGCCTCACTCCGCCCTCCTCCGATGATGTCATCACGCCACAAACCCGCAGCGGCGCCTGGAGAGAGGAGTAAGTCGGGAAATGAAGTTCGGCGGTTTCAAACGACAGAGGCGGAAAAGCGGGGCGATCCCGTTGTCGCGTCGCTCGCTTTGTTGTGCAAAGGGAGGGCGAGAAGAGCGGAAGAGTGACGTGTCCGCGGGTGGTGGGGGAGGAGCCTCGATCGGGGAGGAGGAGGAGGAGGAGGAGCATGCCGCTGCCGGGATCGCTTCTTCCTAGCGTTTTGCTGACGGACGTGGTAAGTCAGGCCGAGGGTACCCGCCGCGGGCGCTCTGCTATGAAAGCAGGGGCATCCCTCGCCTTGTCTGCTTCCAAAGCAGCAGGTCCTCGACGGAGGCCCCGAGCCCCAGCGCTTCCTTCAGTCAGGAAGCAGCTGTTGTCCGGTCGGCTTCGGCTGGGCGCGGGGGGACGTCGGGGGCCGCCTGCAAATCACCCACCCACCCATCCGTCCCAATTGCAATTTAGACACAGAAGAGCTGCTCACGTACGCTTGTCAGCATAGGCAGTTGGACGAGCGAGTTTGCATTTCTTTTATTTCCTCGATTTATAGGACTGGCCGCTGCGACGGAGTGGCGGGGGGCTTTAGCATTTGAAGAAGCTTGACAGCAAAGGAGCGAAGGCTAAAATAAGATGATACAATCATAAACCATTTGGGAAAATTAAAAAAAAGGGGGAATGACGAGGGATAACCTTAATCACAGTTACGAGCCGAGACCAGCGAAGATATACAGATAATCTTCGTTTAGAGCAGGGGTCTCCACAAGTCCACAAGTCTTAAAGTTGCCAAGGTTGGAGACCCCTGGTTTAGAGACTGCAACTGGGACAGACAACTCAATGATTAAGCCAAGTGGTCACAAAGTGGGGAATCATGTGACTGCTGATGATTTTACATAGGACAGAAACTGACTGTAATGGCAAACACATGACCGACAGAGATGCTGTATAGGTCGCAAACAGGGGCATTGGTCGCCAAGTGATGATTTTTTTTAATCCCAGTTGTTACTGCAGTTGTTGCTGTCTGAGGCAGCCACTAAATGAGGACTACCTGTATCCCATTGAAGGGTCTTACACTCACTCCATAGGGAGTCATTCAATGCCCTGTCTAGGACTTGGGGAAAGATTTCAGTGCTGTATTTAGGGCCTTATGGGAGGGCAATAAAACTTTTGGTAAAGAATATATTTCTTGGTAATTGTTTATGCCTGGCCTAGTTGTAAGCAGATTGTCGTGGTTTTTGCACTTTTAAAATTTTGATATTCTTTTTTTACATTTAATCTGTTCAGTTCAATAGTAGCTCCCCTTCCCCCAAAAGTTAGCCCAGATTAGCCCCAATCTTTCTGTATAGGGCCCAGCTTGTGATAGAAATTCTGTCTTAGTGGTGGCCATGTGTGCTTCTGCAAATGGAGTTAACATAGAACAACTATTTGGAATAGCATTGGGGATGCTGCTTCTTGGTTTCTATTTGTTATAAGTTTAATTAAAAGTACATTCCACTGGGATAAAAGAATATTGTACTTATTTCTGAATAAATTACATGTAGTTCCCGATCTCAATTGCTGGTGACTTCCCAGACAATTCCTTTTGATTTTCTTTGTAAGAATGTGAAAGTAATTCACTATTGACTTTCTTCCAAAATATCTTTTTCAAATTCCTGGTCTGGGATTTTCTGGTAATCTATTCAAATACTAATGGGATTTAATTTTATTCAGCTTTTCAAGATTAAATCAGCTAGGTCAGTGTTGGCGAACCTTTTCAGCACCAAGTGCTGAAACAGGAGCGTGCATGCATGCGTGAGGGAGTGCCGGAAACCGGAAAAGCAGTTCGCTCTCACACATGCACGTGCGGCCACGTGGTCTTCTGGTTTCTGGCACACATGCGCATGATGGAACCAAAAGAGTAACAGGCAATGGCTGGTGTGTCCGGAGAGATGGCTCTGTGTGCCACTTCTGGCACGCATGTCATAGATTTGCTATCATGGAGATAGATGCTATTATATAGCTGGACTACAAATAAATTAGACATTGCTAATGTTTTTGTAAATGTCTGATCTTTGATCAAGGCCAAACTTTCTCTTAACAACTATAACATATATATGAAGTGAATAAAGGTTGATTCATCCTGCCTAAAAGAAACTTCACAAAACCACCAGGAGGTGAAATAAAAATGAGAAATCACATTCACATAGGTACCAAGATCACTCACACTTTGTATTATTGTCAGGCCCACTAAAGCCTTGAGCAGTTAGAATGGTTTGGAAGATCCCAAACCTTGGTTCAACATGTTGTGGAATTCAGTCCCTATAGTTTGATAGCTCAGGATTATGTGTAGGCATAACAGTATGTCTTATTCAACCAGTTATGGATAAATTCATGGTAATTGAAAACCATTCAGCTGCTGCATTTTCAAATGGTAGGTTTGAATCTTTGAGCCACAATAGCCTTGACAATTTATGAAAATTTTCAACCCAGAAACACTCTGGTTTTTTTTTCCTCCTCACTTCAACAGGTCATCATAGATACTATGGACATACTTTTTAGAATAAGAGGAGGCTTGGATTTTGCATTTCAATTAGCCACTACTAATGGTGAGTCTGTAGAAATACAAAATGCTGTGTTACATTATACTATAAAGAATCTTCCTGAACAAAAGTTTAAAATATTGATTCTAGTGTATGAACAAAAACTGTTTTAGCAAAGTTAGTATGAGAAGCCTTTCCCTCTTCTCTCCTCATTTTGGAATAATACAACTGTGCAGATTCATTCAGAAACAAGTCCCACTCTTCTTAATAGAACTCTCTCCTTTTCAAGTTATTGAGGGCCAAAGCCCAAATGGTTAGGCAGTTTATTTTATAGGTCTTCTGCTGTTATTTAGGAAATTCTTTCACGCTAAAATGCTTAGTTGAGAATACTTCTTTCACTCTTCAGTTAATGGATAAGATCACAATTGTTCCTTTTCTTCTTTCTAAATTAGTCTCGCTATATAAAATCTACAGCTAATTCCCTGTGCATTCTTTCTTTCTTTCTTTCTTTCTTTCTTTCTTTCTTTCTTTCTTTC